TATCTGTCTGATCAGTTCAGAAATTTATGTGATGAAAAGGGAATAGAAAGACAACTGACTATTCCATATACTCCTAAACAAAATGGTGTTGCGGAAAGAAGAAACAGAACCTTAATGAAAATGGTTAGATCAATGATGGCACATGCTAACTTGCCAATCACCTTTTGGGGTGATGCTTTGTTGACTGCTGCCTACATACTTAACCGTGTGCCTTCTAAATCAGTTGCTTCTACTCCATATGAGTTATGGACAAGGCGAAAAAGCCCGATTTAAGCTTTCTAAAACCTTGGGGTTGTGCTTGCCTATACTCGTGAATCTTCTCACAAGTATGGAAAATTAGGCCCAAGAGGCAAAAAGAGTATTTTTATAAGATACTCGGAGCACTCAAAAGGATATGTATTCATAGGTGAGCAAGAAAGCGGAAGTATAACTGAATTTGAATCACGGGATGTCACATTCTTAGAGAATGAATTTCCTAAAAAGGGCGAAGTAGGTGGTGATTACTCACTATACGAATCTGTGGATCGTGATAGTGAAGTTAGTGGGAGCATTGTGACAAATGGAGAGTTGAATGCAACCCAGTCTCAATTGCAACCACTTAAAGAGACGACACCACCATTATCTCATTCGAGTGGGAGCGCAATGGAACGGGGTGAATCATCAGGAGTACAGCATTCCATACGACAGTCAAGTCGTAATAGGATTCCCCGTCGACGTTTTGACATTGAAGGAGAAGCTTTCATGATCGCCCCACAAGATGAAGATGAGCCGAAGAATGTGAACGATGCTCTAAAGTGCCCTGATAAGGAAGAATGGATACATGCAATGGAAGAGGAAATGGAGTCATTAAGATCAAACCAAGTTTGGGAATTGGTTGACCTTCCAAAAGGACGCAAAGCCATTGGGAACAAGTGGGTTCTCAAAATAAAGCGTAAGGCTGATGGCTCAAAAGAGAGGTATAAGGCTCGCCTTGTGGCGAAAGGATATAATCAACAGGAAGGAGTTGACTTTGAAGAAACTTTTTCCCCTGTGGTTAGATTTACCTCTATTCGCCTTATTCTGGCAATAGTAACTAGTATGGATCTTGAATTACATCAAATGGATGTAAAGACGCATTCTCAATGGAGAATTAGAGGAAGAAATTTATATGGAACAACTGTTGGTTTCATTACAAAAGGCCAGGAGCACAAAGTGTGTCGACTATTGAGGTCGATATATGGCCTTAAGCAGTCTTCGAGACAATGGTATATACGTTTTCACAATGCCATAATGGCATATGATTTTGTAATGATTAGTGAAGACAATTGTGTATATATCAAAAGATCCAAAGATCAATTTGTGATCTTGTCATTATATGTTGATGATATACTAATTGCCGGAAGCAGTATGGAGTTGGTTAATACAGTCAAGAATTGGTTATCTTCCAATTTTGAGATGAAAGATATGGGTGAAGCTGCATACATTCTTGGAGTTAAGATTTCGAGAGATCGCTCAAAGAAATCCTTATCTCTTTCACAAGAGACGTATGTGAATAAAATCCTTGAGCGATTTCGTATGCAAGACTGTAAACCAATAGATACTCCTATTGCAAAGGGCGAAGCATTAAGCGACAGAATGTGTCCTAAGACTTCACAAGAAAAGGAGCAAATGGAACAAGTTCCATATGCTAGTGCTGTCGGAAGCTTGATGTACGCTATGATGTGTACAAGACCTGATATTTGTTATGCAGTTGGAATGGTAAGTAGATACCAATCCAATCCAGGTCAAGCATATTGGATCGCCGTCAAAAGAATCCCGAGATATCTAAAGGGAAGTGCCGACTATGCGCCGACTTATCAAGGAAGTGATCTACACCTTGAAGGCTATACGATCTTGATTTGGGAGGAGATTTAAAAGAAAGGAAATCTACTTCTGGATACGTGTTCTTACTGAATAATGGCGCCATATCTTGGAGCAGTAAGAAACAACAGTGTGTAGCCTTATCTACAATGGAAGCTGAGTTCGTGGCTCTATCAGCAGCGGCACAAGAAGCTGTTTGGCTTAGAAGATTTTTGGATCACTTAGGTGTTACTGAGAATGCTGCAAACCCAGTATTGGTCTATTGTGATAGCCAAGCAGCAATAGCGTATACTAAGGATCCCAAGTATCATGGAAAGACCAAACATATAGATATCAAGTATAACTATGTCAAGGACATGGTTGCACGAAAGGAAGTGAACGTGAAGTACATATCTACACAAAGGATGATAGCAGATCCTATGACGAAGCCGATTCCTAGAGAAGTTTTCCATGGTCATGTGAGATCTCTAGGACTGTGTAGAATATGATGTACTGAATATTGTAATTTTCCCAGAATGTTCACTATTAATGAAGTTTGTTATTATCAATGCCTATAAGTTTGTATGACGTTTGTGAATGTCGATGCTGAGTGCATTATATTGAAAAGTTATGTCGGACAGATGAGAGATTAGCCCACTCACACGGGTAATCGCCTCTACTCACTGTGTGATGAATAGAGATGAGACAGTTTTAAGCTTGTTATCTAGGTGATAATTGAGAGCTCGAGCTTGAAGCATGGACGTCGCCTTAACAAAATGTTAAGATGAGGACATATGGATTATTATGTCCGAAAGTGAAATGACCCACATATTTCACTTTACCTGCCTTTAATGCCGATGTGAGTTCGATAGATGCTTATGAATAGAGTAGATTGGTGAACTCAAGTTAGACATTGAGTATATCTAAACTATCATCTGTACGGTATTGAGAGTAAAGACATACGCTCTATGGGAAAAGGAGAGAATACCGTAATACGTATTTCATATTACGTATGCATGGGACGACCGATAAGAGTTGGCAAAAATTTGTGATCTCAATTTTTAAGTCGTGTGAGACTCTTGAAGAAAATAGTTCTTCTCAATTAAAGTGCCCTCACGACTCTTACTTATTCTCAAAATTTCTATTCAGTGTTTGCTATCTTAGGATGTTGCCGATGATCATGATAATTCGGTCTAACGGGGCATTTCTAGAAAAGCGAGTTGGACTGAAATGGAGAGGTTTAAGGAAAGAGGAAGATCAATTTAATTTATGATGTCACATTCTATATTTGTATTCACAGGTCGACCAATTATGATTTTGAGTAAATCATAGTTGTGAATACAATATACGAGATACTAAAAGAGATCAAGAGAGATGAAAATTGTGACTGATTGATATAGGGAACTGCATACTAATTCTACTCTGGATAATGCCCAAATTTGAGCTGTTATATATTCCTAACAGATGTATAACAACGAGCTCTCGTAGTATGCTGGTCGCACGGATTATTTGCCAATATGAACTTTGCAAGGAAGAGAGTTGTGTTTAGCCCATCGTGGGCGAGTGGGAGATGTAAGACATATTGGGTGGACCGCCCAAGATGGGCCAAACCCGGCCCGTGAGCCACAAGGGCCCACGAGGTAGTTATTTGCCTATCTATAATAGAAGGCACCCCTTGGAAAACAGAAGTGATTTTTCATATGTGCAAACACACTCCTTCGACACAACGTATTCTCTGTTTTTGCTTCGGAACGCACGTGAGTACGAAAGACATTCGAAGAACTCTCAAGCGCAAAGTGGCACTTAATCTGTGACAATACCGGGTATGTTCGTTGTGTGATATACCTGTACGATCGGTGATACAAGTTGACGATCCTTGGGCACGTTTTCCGCATTGATCGAATTCGTTCCGAATATGTTTCGAACGTGACGATCGGGAATTGAGTTTTCCCAACAGTTGGGATGCGGGTTTTTCCTTTTCTCCTAAGCAAAATAGAGGGAGCATCGCACGGAGCAAACAATCCGCATCCTTTTAGGATGAGTATCCTCTTTCCGTGATATACTCTCTTCGGTAGGTCGATAATAATTCATTTCATAAATTAATTAATTGAGATTTATCGAGGCATCGAGAAAGCACCATAAGAGAGGAGAATCTCTCATTCATACCTACAGATCCAAGGAAGGAAGACATCTCCTCCTCCTTTTTTCCCTCTTATTTTTACTAGCCTTCGTGGACAAACATTTCATGGACTAATAGTCTTGACAATACCACAATAGGTTATCATGTTCTTATGGAAAAAATATGGATTGCTTTTTCCTAGTACCTACTCGCCTGTTTTTTTTTCTAGAAGACCAAGCAGAAGGGCTAAACTTTCTTTTACGTTTCTAACTCGTTCAACATCTCGTTGTTGAACTGTCTTGTATATTTTTCTTCTCAACACCTCATCTAGAAGGCCACTAAACGAAGCTAACAACGACTCATCTCAGATGAAGCCACCTCTGTCTCGACCAATCTATATAAGACCGTTCAGCCCAGAGGTCATCTTCTCCAACATAGCGGAGCTCCCACCACGAAACAATCCCTCCTCTCTTACTTCTCTCCCCCCTCTTTCTCTCTGAAAATCCACCATGATCACCGCCGAATTCGTTCATGCACCACCGGTGGAAGAGCTCGTCCGCACCGATTCGGCGCAAGTTCCTGAAAACTATGACGACAACAGCGATGATGACGACACGCTCTCGCTCTGCAACCTCTCCTTGTACTGCGACGCTGCCGATTGCTCCTTCGCCGATGATGTCGCCTCCACATCATCCTCCTCGTCGTCCTCCTCCTCCTCCTCATTGGATCACGATGACTTCTTCGAGTTCTCGTCGATCGGGGACTCTGATTCCTCCGCCTACCTCCGCTCCGATGATCGGAGCATTGTCTTTTGCGGGAAGCTCATCCCTCGCCGAGAATTGCCTCCAAATCCTCCTCCTCCGCCTACTACTCCGGAGAAGAAGAGATCCCCGCTCCAAACCGGCCGCGGAAGCCAAAAGAGCACGAGCAGGAGGACTCGATCGCCGACGGTCCGGAGGAGGAAGTGCCGGTGGTACCAGATGGCGTTCGGATTGGCGAGGTTCCCGACGGAGATGGCACTAAGCGAGATGAGGACAAGGCAGAGCCGCAAGGTCGAGAAGAGGGGATCGTTCGGCGGCGACATTGTGAGGAGCGGCGATTGCAGCGGCAAGAGCAAAGCGAAAAGGTTGTTCGGAATGTTGAAGTCTCTGGGATTGGGCCACCGTCGTCGCGCCGATGCTTTGGTGAACGCCTCGTTGGGCTGCGTCCGGCGGGCGTGACAGGATCACCAAAGACGATGTATATATTTGAAAGTTTTGATTTTTAGGAGTATTGATCCTGCATATTTCATAAAAAGGAGTGTTTGCGCATTGGTTTTCACTACGTTTCTTATGTGGTTGCCTATATACATACGTTCCAAATTGTCTTCTCAAGAATGCATGGGGAAGACTCATTTAGTTGATCACACATTATAGGTATGATGCATGGGAAAGACTCATTAGCTGTCATTATCGAACTCGTTAGCATAAATTCGACCGATAATGTTATGAGCGACGATGTATTGAGGACGTTCTTTAACGAAATCCCATTTTTATGGGATACAAACTTATTACGAAACATGCGATCTTCTTATTCAAGATTTTGATTGATTTTAACCCTTCCCTATTACTGAATAATTATATAACCAATAAAAACAGGATATGTATATATCATGAGAGGATATATATAGATCGTGATGGTATTAAAGTATTTAAATATTAAATTATGCATTTATCTAACAATTTAAACTTTTAGAATGATATCATAAAATCTCATAGGTACTAGAAAAGGATGGACTGAGTTTAAATCTTTTCAAATCCCCATTTGTCTTATTTATTATATGATTATACGCTTTAATCCCCATTTGTCCAAAGTTTGCCTTCATTTATTCGCTTAAACTTGTAAAAAGTTGACAGTGGTTCCATAAAATTTCACAAATAAAGCATAGGCGCCGAAGTGTATTTAACTTTGTTTCTTGGTGTCAGGCTTCTTTGTATAATGCATAAGCATAGATACTCGATTATTTGAAAACCTATGAGAAACCTTACAAGTATCATAAATCAATTATGTTGATGCCTTTGATTTGTGCAATGGCCCTAATTTAGAGTAACTTGCACGCGTTTAGTGAAATTTGAACATGTGACCTTCAATTTCGAGCTAAAAGTTCCCTAACTCTCCAATGTACTATGCCGACCCGAGGGGTTGCCCTCAATATCAGGCGTTGCAAGATTTGTGTATTCTAATTATACACTTCAGTAAAGATTTTGCCATATCGTAAGATAACGTACACAGAAAAACATCAAAAGAAGCGGGAGGAGTTTCAAATTGCATAATAAAAAAATTTAATAATTGGAAAATATCAAAAACATACCTCACTTTTTACCTAATGACCATATACATATCTCTATTTTTTTAAAATACCACCTAGATTTACCTCTGGAGACTATTTTGCACATTCACATCAATTCTCCTTGTATCCCTCTTTTCGATAATGCCATTTTCTTTCCAAAAATGCCCATCCCAGGTCTTATAATCTTAGACTCACCCAAAATACTCAAAACAAATTAAAAATCAAACCACCCAAACCCTATGCAAGATGCTAAAATGATTATGCAAGAAGGGCAATTTGGTCTTTTTCATGTGGAGTTTTGCAAAATAGGGGTATGTAAGTGGTTATTAGGTAAAAAATGATGTATGTTTTAGATATTTTGGCTTAAATAGATAATATAGAAAGTTTATAGTCAATGACAGAACAAGCTAGATAGTTGTTGCCACCACATACTTGTTTCAGTTCAGTTGGGATGTTGGTTTTTCTTTTGCTCCTAAGCAAAATAGAGGGAGCACCGTATGGAGCAAAGAATCCATGCCCCTTCAGGACGAGGGTCCTCTATCCATACTATACTTTCTTCAGTGCCTCGATATATATCAACCGTCGATAAAAAAAACTCATTTCATAAATCAATATTTGAGATTTATTGAGAATCGAGAAAGCACTGTAGAAATGGAAAATTTAAGTCCAAAGCTTCATATCCAAGGGAGGAACACATATTTTCCTTCTTCTTTTTCCCCTATTATTTTTTTGCGTTCCTTGGTGGACAAACATTTCATGGACTAATGTGTGTGGTGGCTAAGACTGTGCCCTGGTTTTACTCTCCCTGGCTGTCGGCTCGTGCGGGGTTCCCCGGGTTACCAAAAAAAAAAAAAAACATTTCATGGACTAATAGTCTCAATAAGACCACGGTAGGTTCTATAATAAGGTTAAATATGCTTGGAGACCAAGGTCCGAAAATTGATAGGCTATTCCGGGGTATCATGACCCCTTTTCATTCGATATAACAATTTATAAGTTGGAGTTATCCTATAAAGGAACCTCAGAACCGAGACAGAAAATTCAATTGTCGTTGGGAAGAAAAAAGGCCAAGTGAAAAACGAATATGAAAAACGATATTTCATTCTAAAGAAGAGAATATTTAAATTTTGAATTGAACTTTCTAATTATTAAACTATCGAAAGAATTAAAAAAAAAGAGGTGATGAATACTTCATAGAGAAATATATCATGCTCCTAGAATACGAGCCTAAACTATTTATTTCATTACGGAGTATATCATGCTCTTGAAATAGGAGCATAAACTATCTCTCTCATGAAAAAAAATCGTTAGTGATACGAGTTTAAACTGTTTATCTCAAAATTGTTTGACACGAACTTAAAAGGCTTGAAGTTTAGAATTCCTTGACTCGAGCATCAATGGTCTACAACAAGATTCCCCAGCAAGAATGCAAAAGACCTAAAGTTCAAATCAGATTTCAGTATTCCTTGATACAACTTTATAGATCCCCTCGGGGATCGGCCCGTTCGCACCCCTAACTTGTGCTTTTGGAGACAAATTTGGATCATCTACTCCGCACGGTGTTCCTCTTTGCGTCCCAATAAATCTCAACCTCTGATTAGTGAGACTTGGATCCACGACTGTGATTGAGCGAGGGTGCCATCCAATAGCTAGAATTTGCCAATGTCGTGCCGTATAAATTTACTTGTGGAAACCTGGGGAAACAACTCTCGAGAAGGGAGGGAAAAAATATGGATGCGCTTTTCCTAGCAACTGCCTACTCACCTGCTCTTCTAGATGACCAAGCAAAACGGACTAAACTTTTCTTTTCCGTTGTTAACTTGTTCAACATCTCGTTTTTTGAACTGTCGTTTATATATTTCTTGTCAGCACTTCATCTAGAATGCCCACTAACGAAGCTGACAACGATCCATCTCACTTCAGCAGAAGCCACCTTCCTTCTGTCTGTGTATATAAGACCGTTCAGCCGTGAGCTCTTGTTCTCCAACAAAGCGAACTCCCACCGCAAAACATTTCCTCTGAAGATCCACCATGATCACCACCCAATCAGTTCATGCACCGCCCGTGGAAGAGCTCGTCCACACCGGTGATTTGGCGAGAGTTCCCAATAACTATGATGACGACGACGGCGACGACGCGCTCTCCCTCTGCAACCTCTCCTTGTACTGCGACGCAGCTGATGACTCCTTCGCCGCCAATGTCGCCTCCACATCATCCTCCTCGTCCTCGGATCACGACGACTTCTTTGAGTTCTCATCGACTGGGGACTCCGATGCTTCCTCCGACCTCCACTCCGATGATCGGAGCATTGTCTTTTGCGGGAAGCTCATCCCTCGCCGAGAATCGCCTCCGAATCCTCCTCCAACTCCTCCTGAGAAGAAGAGATCGTCGCTCCTAACCAGCCGCAGAAGCCAAAAGAGTGCGAGCAGGAGTACTCGGTCGCCAACGGTCCGGAGGAGGAAGTGCCGGTGGTATCTGATGGCGTTCGGATTGGCGAGGTTTCCGATGGAGATGGCGCTGAGCGAGATGAGGACGAGGCAGAGCCGCAATGTTGAGAAGAGGGGATTGCGCTACAGCGGCGGCGAAATCGTGAGTAGCAGCGATTGCGGCGGCAAGAGCAAAGCGAAGGGGTTGTTCGGATTGCTGAAGGCTCTGGGATCAGGCCACCGCCGTCGCGCCGATGCTTTGGTGAAGGCCTCATTGGGCTGCGTCCCGCGTGCGTGACAGGGTTGGCCACGATTCACTTTGTATTTGGCACACGCGTGTGCGTGAGAGAGAGTAGATTACCAAAGACGATGTACGTGTATGAGAGTTTTGATTTTTAGATGTACTGATTTTGCATACTTCACAAAAGAAGTGTTTGTGCATTGGTTCTTACTACAATTTTTGTGTGGCATGATGTCTTCTCACGAATGCATGGAGAAGACTCGTTAACTGTTGTTATCGAATTCGTTAGCGCAAATTCGACTGATAATGTTACGAGCGAAGATGTATTAAGGATGTTCTTTAACCAAATCCCATTTTTGTGGGATACAAATTTGTTGTGAAACATGCGTTCTTCTTCTTTGAGATTTTGATTGATTTTAACCCTTCCCTATTACTGAATAATTATATAACCAATGGATAGGATATGTATATTACATGAAAGGATGTACATAGATCGTGACAGTGTTAAAGTATTCAAATATTAAATCATGCATTCATCTAAATACTTAAAAGTTTAAAATGGTTCCACAAAATCTCATAGGTATCAAAATAAGAGATCCTGAAATCAAATCTTTTCCAATCCCCGCTTGTTTCATTTATTATATAATTCTATACTTAAATCCTAGTCCAAAATTTCTCTTCATCTATTAACTTAAGCCCGTAGAAAGTTGGCAGTGGTCCCCTAAATTTCACATGTAAAGCATAGCCGCCACAATGGTTTTAACTTGGTTTCTTGGTGTCAGGCTTCTTTGTATAATGCATAAGCCTAGATACTTGATTATATGAAAACCTATGAAAAACCTTATAAGAATTATAAATCAATTATGTTGTTGCCTTTGGCTTGTGTAGTAACCCTAATTCAGAGCAATTTGCACTCTTTTACTGAGATTCGAACATGTGACCTTCATTTTTGAGCTGAAAATCCCTTAACATTCCAATGTACTACGCCAACCAGAGGGGTTGCCCTCAACAGCAGGCTTCACAAGAAATTTGTATTCAACTATACACTTGAACAAATTTTGCCATATTGTAAGATAGCGTACAAAGAGAAGACATCAAAAGGAAGCGGGTGGAGTTTCTAATTGCATAATAAAAAATTTAGTAAAAGGAAAATATCAGAAAACGAATCTCATTTTTTACCCAATAATCACGGGTGAATTTCCTAAAAAAACCCCAACTTTAGGTCAAGTCTCAAATCTTTCTCGAACTTTTTTTTGTGTCAGAAAAACCTCAAACTTCAGGTCCAGTTTCAAATTTGCCATGAATTTTTTTTATCTTGGAAAAA